TGTATTTCTGTAGCTACAGTTCCAGTCCCATTAACTTCAATAGAACAAAACAACACTAATTTAATCTAAAATGTACTCCAGGGAGTTAAATTTATCTGCTGAACTACAATTTAAATCTTTTTTTGTAAGCTGACCTAGAACCTGTCCAAGACATTTTGCTGTTCCAGGCAGCTGTTGTATTTTGGAAAGATGCACATCAGAATCCTTTGAAATTCTGCTCACATGTATGTGGCCTTGGCAACTCACATTATTTGTTGCTTCTTCAGTCATTCTAATTCTGGGCTCACCTTTAAAAAGACAAATAAAAAGAGGCATAAAAGAAAAGATCCTTTGTGTAGTTTTGGCTTCATTTCTGTTATTATGGTAAAAGCACAGTTTTATTTAATTTTGGCAGAATCATTGTGCTGGAATTTTAACACAATGTCACAATTGTTTCATAACTTCTCTAAAGTAAAAATCAGCAGCCTTTATAACACCCTGATTATTTCATTCATATTTACAATAAATTGTTTTACCCTTCAAGTGAAATGACAATACAATAAATTTCTCGAGACTGAATTTAGGATTACCCATCTTCTTTTTTTTCTGTTGTTTCCTAATATTTTTATACAGTACAACAAAATGAGACATTTAATTAGTTTTTATGCTAACCTCATTTGCCAATAAACAAATATGACTGTATACCATGAAAATGGAAAATCTGCTTCCTATAAAGAATATAAACATATTCTTCCAACCCTCAAAATCAGCCTACAATAACAATACTAAATAAAAGCCAAACATCACTTTTACCAGGAATTTTTCAATCTTAGTTATGCTAAAGAGGAAGACTCTAAAGTTGTTGAGAGGAATTTCGAGATTTGAGTTTGCTTATTAATTGCATATCCTATAAAAGTGCAATTATTATCTTTTAACACACTGCAAATGAGCAGCAGAATTTCAATGTTTATGGATTTCTGCTGGCTGGATCAAAGTAGGAAATACCGGTGGAAATTCTTCCTCCCACTTGGAACAATTACAAATACTGTTGGGAAATAGCTTTTTTTATAATGCTCATTACACTTTTATTTGCTTACTGATCTGTCTGACGATATCATCTGCCACATACACTTGAGATAATATAAAATCATTACTTTTGATTCATATTTGTTAACTATTATTTAAATGTAGAGATTTTTAATTGGTGCCCCATTCCAATCATTCTGTATAGCTCTCTTAAAAAAAAAAGAATAGGAATAGTTTGCCATGCTGGAGATATTTTCCCCACTTGATTAGTATTTTTTGCTGCTGGGTGGGATAGAACATTGAATCATAGGAAATATTTGGAGATATTCTAGTCCAATCCTCTGTTTAAGGCAGGAGACCTTATACCATCTCAGTTGTTCTGTCTTGGTTGTTCTGTTTTTTAAAACCTCCAGTAATGGAGGACCAACAATTCCAAAAGACAAGTATTTCATTGATTAATTGTTCTCACTGTTAGAAAATTTCTCCTTACTTGGTTTGGATTGACAAGCTCCCAGCTTTAGATGTGCATGTGTGATACTGTTTCATATTTGCAGAAATCTGTATTTATCAGCTATATTTGACATCCAGATTCTATAGGACTGATCTTCATTGTAACATATTCTTTCACTACATAATGTTTAAAGTAGCATTTAGGTTTTACTTCATACACCCATAATAAGATATCTAGCCAAGTTTATAAAGTCTGCTATCAAACTACCAACTATTGTGACATGTACATGAAAATTGATAAACTGTGTAACTGTTATACTCATATTTTGTTCCTGAAACAAAGCTGTACTTCTTATAAACCTATCTGTTGGCAGATGATGAAATATCAAGATGATCTATTTGGGATTATCCTTGAAAATCATTTGGAAGCTGCAGATAGTCTAGAATGCAATAGCACCTGTAGTTATGGGTTGATTTTGCTAGATCCATGCAACACCACTACTTCTTGAGCTGTACTGATTCCTATTAGGAGTAACATTCAAGGTACTGGTTATTACCTACATCGCCCTTCATGGCACAAGGCCAGATTATTTGCAGACCTGCTTTTCTCTAATTATTTGTATTTGTCCCTGAAACCTGACATCCACCTTTTATAGTTCATCTTTTCCCAACTTTTCTCATTCTATTTAGTTCCTATACAATAAAGAAAATATTAGGGGACTGTAGTAAAAATGATGCATTCTTTAAAATTTTAAACAAGTTCTAAATGTATTGTGTTTCTATTATTTGGATAAAGGTTTCCCTTTCTGTACAACATGTTTATTTTGCACAAGTCCATAATAGCTCTGGGTTCTCTCCACCCCCACTCCCTTCTCTCAAACAATGCTAACTCAACTTTTTAACAGTATTACCTATTTTAAACTCCTTTTTTTTCCTAAATAGGAACAAGCTCGGATTTGCCTGATCTATTTGCTTAATCAGCTGGCCAACATGGAACATTCTTTCCATCATATCATTTTGTTGGAGATCAAATACATCACTGACACCTTCTCCAACATCTTGGGTATCCAAAGCAGAGATATTTATCGTATGAGTAACAGTTTCACTGCTGTAGCTAAACATCTCATCCAACAGCTGAAAAATAACACAAGGTCGGAATGCAGGTAAATTCAAACCTCTCATCTTTTTATCCTGAGGACCTGTGATGTAGTATTTTAATATTTGTGCTAAGCTAAAGATACCATGTTTGTATTTAATATATTGGTCCAACTATCAGAGAAACCAACCTAAAGTATTTGGTTGCCAATCAGACTGGTGAGAATTTGTGTCCATAGTATAGATGTGAGAGTGATCCAGCTGCCACATCTGTCAATCACTCTGTTTGCCAGAGTTAATCCAGCTGATCTGACTGGGTAAGCAGGTGTCCCCTTCCTCCTTTATAGCTTCATGTGCATCAGTCTCAAAGGTGGACAGTCGGTAGAAGACCGGCATCCCAGATGGTTGAGAAAACCGTTCTTCAGAGAAAGATATTGGATAGCTGAACAATCCTGCTAGAACCTTCTATCAAGCTGTCCCAAGTAGCCAATTGCAAGAAAGGGACAGCTATCTCGTGGCGGAGACCTAAAGTTATTTCTTACAAAGAATTTTGAAAATTAGGCCAACAAATGCCTGAATTTCTGTTCATCACTATAGTCATGTTACAAAGCCACACACACACACACACACACATTTCTCTCTCTCTCTCTCTCTCTGTGTATGTGTGTATGTTTCTGTGTCTGTATATGTATGTGTATATGTATATAAAGTGGACATTCATTCACTTCCTTTTATAGATGAAAATACAGTTCTTTATCCATATTATTTTTGTACTGGAGAGTTAAGAATTGATTAGGACTATGCAAAGCATTTGAAAGGGTTCTTCATTCTCTTTGAAGTGATCAGCAGCTGCATTTGTTTGCTTCAGAAACTGCTTGTGACTGTCTCTGCATGTGTGTTTGCATGTGTGTTTTTTCTGGCTGTCACAATAGAATTTTTGTTTATGAATGGCTTTTCAAGCAGTTGCATGAACCTAAAAAGCTCCTTTAATGGTTCCCAAAGAGGTGCTTGGATAATTCTTCTTCACGATTTGCCTAAATAGCACATTTTTTCATATCACACAATACTTACTCATGTCTGAGCATATATAGATTTCATGTTCCAGAAACTACCAAATTTTCAAGTAAATTGTTAAATAGTTTTTCTCAGATTTTTTTTACATTAGATGAAAATATTGTAATGCAAGTAGCTTTCATTTGGAATCTTAAAATAAAATCTTTATCAAAACAAATTCATAATTTGCTACAGAATTTCATAGCTTACATCTTCATTAATAATCAAAATAAATGTTCTGTTTTGATTATGTTCTATTGGTTTGCTTTAATTGTGAAATATAGAGTATTTACAGAAATTACTCCTTATATGAATTAACCCCCATTAAGTATAAAACAGAAATGAACATAAACTATCTTGTTGCAAAAGTAAGAATTATATAGGTACATATACACCTATTATAAAACAGGTTCTTTAAATTTCAATGGAGCTTATTTTTAAAATGTACTTGCTTCACAGCAAATTTCAGTAGGGTTTTTTTATGATAATAAAGCAAATAATGAAATTTCTTGAGCTCAGACAGGCAGAATTTCAACAGCTATGGTTCTGCAAAGATAGCTGGAAAGGCAGTAAATATTTTCTAATATACTACAATGGTACCTTGTACTTGTTGTTAATTAGTTCCAGAAGGTGTGATGAGTACCAAAAACAATGAATGCCAAACAATTTTTTCCCATGAGGAATAATGAAGCAAGGCAGCTGTTCTAGCTTGTGCTTTGAGTACCAAACAAATTATGAGTACCAGGGCAAAATGTTCGCCACAGAATGTATCGAATACCATAATTGATGAGTTTCAAAGCAGCTGAGTTCCAAGGTACCACTGTATTAATGAATGACCAAATTCAAGGTTTCACCCATAAATATATTCCAGTGTCAATAATTTTTATCTTGACATAAACATTCGGTGTCCATGATATGAATGATTGGCATAAAAGGAAGCAAGATAAGGACAGAAAGCCATGTGATAATACAGCATAAAGAAATCAATCTTATTATCAAAATTAAAATTAGTTTTTAAATCTAAATTAAGGAACCATTTATTTAATAGGAATTTTCTTTTCATTCATGATATGCAGAAAAATAACGTTTTTGCATTGTGTAGACCACTTTAATAATTACTGATTCACTGGACTGAATTATTGGTCATTATTGGCCATATACACAATCAAAATATGTTGATATCAATATATATATATTACGTATTTCGGTTTTTAAGCATTGTTTGAGGTTGCAAGATGTGTTTAAGAATAACAATGGAACAATAGTGGCTTATTACCAATACTATTAACATCAGTATATATCAGACTATCAGATGTTTTTCAGATTTATTTTATTAAATCCATTAAACTTTAGCTAAGGGAGAGTACTTGGATTGTAAGTCTCAGAAGAAGTTATTCAAATTGATATGAGTATAGCAACAACTTCTAGGCTCCCTGTTTAATATTTAATATCTTAAAGTCTTAGAAAATATTTTATTTCACTTTACACTGAGGTATATTATCATTAATGCAGGATACTAAGCTGTTACTAAGCAAAGAGTTGTTCTGTTAGCTCTATGGAGCTTAACTTCATAAACACTTTGGTGAACTTACTCCCCAAAGCAACGTTAAATCGTATTCAGAAATTTGACCCTTTAAATTATTACATCTTATTGAACTTTTAAAAACTGTATTATATATTTCAAACTCAGTGCATATAACTTCAAGAGCACTTCTAATACCTGTTTTAACCACTTTCCTTACATCTGGTAGGGTGTTCATACAAGAAAATAGTAGTAAAAAGTAATCATGTCAAAATTAGAATTTTGATTCCTTTTATTTTATTAGGAAAAAATGCTTGACTTGAACTCTGAGCAACGTTTTTTTTTAAAAAAATAATAATATAGGGACAATATATACCAGTGCTTTTCAAGCTTGGCAACTTTAAGACATATAGATGTCAATATCCAGAATTCCCCAGTTGAAATCCATACATCTTAAAATTGCTAAGTTTGAAAAGCACTGATATAGACTATATGTCCAGCCTTAGTCATATCTGTTCCATATGCAGCACTTTCTGCTAATGATGATAGCATTTAGCAGATTTTAGTCTGTACTCCACAACTGCAAGCACAGCTGATAAAGGCATGCATTAATCTGTGCAAAATAGGCTCTCTAATCCACAAGAGGCTGTCTTATAAATCATCATTCACCAATTTTTGAGGCATGTGTAGAGTGCTAATAATCAATCAAGATGTCAAGAATGGATCTTGGGGTTAAATGGATTTGGAAAGAGGAAATAACTGAAAACAGTAGAGTGAAGGTATAACAACTGCAGGAATAGAAAATGCAACTATGAGAAGTATTAGAAAGTAGATTAATCTCCAAATAGATTGGATGAAAAATGAATGTAGGAAAAGAGAATATGGAAGCTGCTTGAAACAGAATGAAAAGAATTACATTGCAGAGTGCTACAGAAATGTGAGAAGCTGAGTTAATGAAAGTCTGAAAAAATGGTACAACGAAGTGAAAGAGGCTACATATGAGGAAAACATGCATATAACTGTTGTCGAAAAAATGAGAATGAAAGATTTTGTATGGAGTGAAAAGAAAGAAAACAACAGTTTGCAAAAAAAAAAAAAGTAAAAAAGAGAACAGTTCAAATTAAAACAGACCAAGAAAATGCCCACACCTTTAATAGAAATAAGTAGCTTAGGAAGTGGATGAAGAGGGTTGAACAAGGATCCTCCAATAGAATAGTTTTCCGGATGTTGATGAACTTTGAGTCCCAGAAGCTAATCTGACCAATGGAGAGGAATTAGGAATTGTAGTATAGCAACTCCTGGCAGGTCATAGTTTGCTCCATATGGTTCAGGATTTCTCAAACAAATTTAACTTCATGGAAAAGAGCCTCTTTACTGCAGGATCTCCTCTAGCTATTGCAGTGAGGTTTCTGAAGAAATGGAAAATGGAAACTACCATCTTGCTGTATTGGTTATTGCACCATTAGGTATAGGAACTGGTATAATATTATTGCACTATTATGCATCAGGATTAATCTACGACTTCTCAACCATCATCTGTGACAATTATTCTAAGTTTGGAAATGACAGAGTTCACCATACCAGAAGCAGACATGGAGAGCTTGTTAGATCCAAAGAAGAAGTACTTTCCATGTGAACCTCCTGTAACATTTGAAGTAGGCTGATTTTGATCAGATTCAAAGTTTTGCGTTAACCAATATGCTTTGAATATATGCATTTCAAGAATAATTTCATTCCTTTAGGAATATTTTTTGTACCACAGGAAGTGAAGTTTTGTACAGTAATATAGATCTGAATTCTTTGACATCAGGAATTTTATATATCTGATGTAATTAAAACCATGTTATAATTAAAACCATTCAGCACTAAAATGCCCTGGCCACAATTTATCTCAATGATGCAGGTTATTCAGCTTGCAGAGCTTACTTTTTAAAGAAAATGAACATGATATAATGATTTCATCTTACAAATCAAGCATGGTAAACTTAACAACAAACAGAAAATGCTGATCTACTGAAACATTCATATCTCGATGCTTGAGAATAACAAGGCATGCAGTGTTGATTGCTATCATTCCATGTTTGTGTTACTTAATAGTTAAATGTTTTTTTTGTTTTGTTTTTTAAAAAAAGGAGAGGCTTGATCTGGCATATTTAATTTGGCTCTTACAGTCTTTACATCTTTTATTTTTACTTCCTTTGTCCCTAATTAGCATAGTAATTAAGAAAAATTTGAATGGTTGGAAATGCACAATGATGGAAATAATCCCATACAAGATATTTTGCAGGACTAGAGCATTGTGCCTCTACGTTCTTAGCAAGATTCCTATTTGAATTCACTATGCATGCTGGCTCAATAGTCAAAGCTTGTCCAGAAATATTAAAATCACTGCACATGGATTTTTTTTGTAAAACATATTTTCCTTTAATAAAAATGGCTAGGGAGGGCAGAACATTAAAGAACAGATACCCACAAAATGCAATATAATAAACC